TCTGCATTCAGAAATGATTGAAAAGAATCGTGCGGGGACGATGTCCGACTGTTTCTGACTGCATTTGAGAATGTTTCTGGAGTGCACTGTAGGCGATGCTTAAGAAAACCTAAATGTTCGTCCAGAGTCTCGATTATTCTTAAGCTTTCAATGTATATCCCACGATTTTGATAGAAATGTTGGGTTTTTATTCAAGCTCTGAGACTATGAATTTCTTAACCCATGATTTCTTAAGCATTTCGCAGGGTGTATGTCTTTCTTTCCCGTCCAGAAGCCGCCTGCAGGGGGACACGCCCGACTTGACCCCTTCTGCGCACCCCGAGCCGTGCGGCAGGCCGTCGCCGTCTGGGTGGACGCCCTCGTCGAGCGAGGCCCCGAGCATCGCCGCGTGGGCCACGGCGGCGCAGCGCGCAAGCGGGCGAGGAGCGCGCTCGGGGCCCGGCGGAGCCGCCGGCGAGCCGATGCCATGCGGTTCGCTTCGCCGGCCAGCGCCGCGCTGACGATTCGGCTCGATGCGGCCCGATTCGCCTCCTCCTCCTCCTCGCTCCTCCTCCTCCGCCTCCTCCTCCTCCTCCTCCTCCTCCTCCTCCTCCTCCTCCTCCTCGCTCGTCCTCCTCCTCCTCCTCCTCCTCCTCCTCCTCCTCCTCCTCCTGGATCGGCCAGGGCCTTGGCCAGCCAGAGCGCGGCGCGGCAGTCCGAGTTTGGTGCGATCCGGGGCGGTCCGCTGGCGATCGGGCCCGCTTCCGATCCGATCCGATTGCGCGATGCCATGCAGCTCAGGCCTGCCTGGCCAGGAGAAGTATGCTTCGACGTGACGCTGGCGATTGCAGGAGCGACTGGCAAGCGGGTGGACTCCTAGCCGCATTTCCGGGCCCGATGGTCTTTCTGCGATGCGGGCACAAGTTGCCACTGCTTGTGTAGACGCTGATGCTGAGAACCTAGGGGTGGACAGTTTGAAAGTACGTCCGCCCTTACTGCTTGCCGAGATAGCAGCGATTGGATATGGAAGGTAGTGGTAGAGTAGCAGCATCACCCGTGGCACAACCAACATAAGTAGAAGACGCAATTCGCAATATCAATAGACATACTGACAGCAGTAACTGCTGCAGCGGGACACTGCTTGCGGCGCAACCGTCGATGCCCAGTATGTGCGCGTGTGCATATTGTATGTCTGTATATATATATATACACATATACATATATGCTTTACGCGTCCCTGGCCAGGCCCACGGCACAGGCAACATAGTACGGTGTTGCTATTGCCCTCCTGGACGTCCAAGATGGCCTGAGACGGCCCCAGGAGGCTGGAGAAGGCAGACACGTTCCTCACGATGTCCCCAGGTCAAGCCAAGAACGCCTACGAGGGCCCCACGGCAGCCCAAGGGGGACCAAGGGAGGCCAACATCCCTCAAATTCAGGTCCCAAGATTGATGTCAAGTCGCCAGGGGACGTGCCAAGGCGCCCCCGAGGGCCTAACATAACGCAAAGGCAGTGTGTGGTTCGACCTTCGTGGCTCTCTCGCATTTTCCGTTCCGATTGGACCTTAGGGGCCTCCAGTTGTCGCCAAGGTCGCCCCGCAGAGCCCCACGAGAGGAGGCCGACCTCCGGCCCCAGGGCGCTCCAGGGGGTTTTCCTCGAGGGCCCCCAGGACGGCCCAGAGCCCGCCAAGGGGCGCCCACGACACCCCAAAGGGAGCCCGAGGGCGCCCCCAAGAGGCCCCCAAGAGGCCCCCCAAGCGCTTCCCGGGCGTCACTCCGATCACTCGTGGCGCCACTGTGGCCCCAGGGCACCCCAGAGGCCCCCAAGAGGCCCCCAAGAGGCTTCCAAGGGGCCCCCAAGAAGCTCCCTAGAGGCCCCCAATAGAGGCCCGCCAGTGGCCCCCAAGAGTCCCCCGAGCGGCCCCCGAGAGGCTACAAGATTCTTTTTGCACGCCTCCAATTGAAGACACTTACATTCCGAAAGGCATACGCAGACACCCTCATCCGCACTCCTCCTCCTCCTCCTCCTCCTCCTTCTCCCTCCTCCTCTCGTGCTTGCAGAGGTCAGGGTGCGGAGTGAAGTTGCCGTTTGAAGGCCACTCAGCCTCAGGGGCCAATTTTGTAGAGCGATGTTTCGACCATCGCATTCGTCCTCTCCCCTCGCACTGCCGCTATCCTCCCTCATCCTCGTGCCCTCCCCTCTCGATGCTTTTGGAGAAGCTTGGATGTGGCGTCGCCTTCCCCCACACGCACACACATACACACACACACACACACACACACACACACACACACACACACACACACACACACACACACACACACACACACACACACACACACACACACACACACACACACACACACACACACACACACACACACACACACACACACACCCCACACACACACACACACACCAACACACACACACACCAACACACACATCACACACATCACACACACACAACACACACAACACACACACCACACACACCACACACAGCACACTCCACACACAC